TCCATTTGATCGTCCGGGCCATAAACTCTAAACAGCATATACCATGTGACATTCTCGCTTCCCGTGTCAGGCTCAGCGACGGAGATCTGAGACCCGAATCACGTGGTTTCAAATATCAAATCGACTGCCAGGTTGGTAGAAGGAAGAACAATATGGAGGTCTTTTTACGTTCTGCCTTCAGTTCAACAGAGATGCATGAAATTAAGCGCTGTGTTATGAATCAGCTTTAAAGTGATCAAGTTGACTAAATTGCTCTACTGATAAGAGTGCAAAAGATTAAAAAAATTGTAGATTTGGATGTGTATTGCATGGCTCATGCATGACCTAATAAACGGTAAGCCAAGCTTACGTGTCGCTTAAATTATCATTAGTAGAATCACTACAAACCACTGTTTTACCAGAGAATTTAGTGCTCGTTTCGGAAAGAACTCTTGCAGTCATCAGGAATAAGTGAGATGTGCGAAGAAAAACTGAATAGCTAGCCAAATTTTCCTGCGTGAATGCGACCAGTTTAACGGTTATAGCTGTCCACCAGGCATGCGTATGCGGTAGTTGTCAGGTGAACCACACATATCTCGTCTGGACTGCGCTCTTAGTTGCTTTGATGTCCTGTTTGTAGCAGGTTTTATTTGTGAATACTCTCCAGGCGTCCGCGGGGGTTGGAATGCAAATGTCATTATGCCTAGTGGCATGTATGAGAGAAAAAAATATACCGAACCGTTGAAATGATTCGCTTATTGATCACTTAGAAATAAGTTATACGTAAACACCAGGTGTGTACTGGAAGTAAGATAAACTGACTGGGATGTGCTGGAATTATAGCATGACTCCATTTTTGTACCTTCCCATTAGGTCGCAACTTTTCCCACGATATTGTATACCGGCAGCGTTCCGATGTCTGGGAAAATATAATTAAACTCAGCAGGAATTATTCATCGGATCTTTGAAGTTGAAGTAATAAACGAAACCAATTTAAAAAATACATGTGAAATGGTGGTGTAGGAAGCGTATCCGACAGCGAGTGAATATACATAACTTATTCTCTTATGCCGGTCCCACAAAAATGCTCGATCGGGTGGGCCAACCGCTGCAAGGGATATGGCACTTGCTCAGCCAGCAAGATTAAGAACGGGTGCATAATCAACTGCCTCGAGTCTTTAGCATGGTCAGTCATCTTTTTTGGATATAAGACCCATTTTATACGTTGATACAGTACGATGGGTAAAATTTAAAATTTGAGCTCTGTTTCAAAAACATTGAAGAAGAAACAGGTTGCTTAGTTCATTTTATCTTCACCATTCCTCATTTACGAGTTTATAAAACAACGCATCGCGTGATGTTAACTTGTCACCAGTACGGCTGAAAAGCATCGGCGGTGTCGTACACCGGTTTACATCCAGGTCGGGAATCGTCAGTCACATACAGATCTACCTCGAGCCCGGAAGTGCTTGCACAGTTATGCGTGTTACACGCAACCCTTGTTCTACCCGGACTGGTTGCTGGGTCTCACATCAACACCAAACGATATATATCCCCGATCGTCTCCGGTGTTTGTGTGATCCGTGTTGACCTCAGGGGATGGATCTGATTCTAGTCGGTTGGTCTAGGACTACTCAAATGCCATGGAGTTCAATGAATGAGAACAATTTTCACAGTTGAAGCACCAAAAGTTCCAGTCAAAGCACTTAGTATTTAGTGCTGAAACATCTTATTTAAAATCACAAACACGTTTTCGCCAACATGTGAATCTATTCCGGGGAGGGAAAAGGTATTGATGCACGACGCCACAACCTCCTTCGAACCACGAAACGCTGTTGGAACAA